CGCTCTACTGTCCACCACCTTTCTGGAGCCAGGCACTAAGATGAAGTCGATGCACCTTGTGTGTCCAAGACTCGATCGGAATGTCCACGCGTCTGCGTGGGTCAGGCTGGGCGGAAAGGTTGCTAATTGAAAACCATGGCACGCTACGAATTCGTTCAATCTTTGCCCCCTTGGGCCGATATTGCACTGAGTAATCCAATCGCCACCAATAACTACATGACTTCTTCTCCTCTGGGCCGCCCGTACCATGTTATCAAGCCGGTCGTAGAACTCGGTGAATTCATCCAGAGAAAAACCAGCATGAGGAACATAAGTGGAAATAAATATGTATGTGTTTCTCCCCAATACTATGTCTAACCCGATCATGCGGCCGGCCTCAGCACATACCCGGCGAATATTCTGAGCGTGGCGTTCGTGCACCAAGACGCCAACGCCCGCAGCAGCATAACCATCTAAATGTAAAAACAATGTATGCCCACCTTCTAATGTAAGTTCTGTTGATGTCGCCCTGGTCTCGCTGAACATTATGATATCCCACTCCACATCTGTCAATTCAGCAATTAATTCAACTATTTGCGCATTCGTTCGTAATCTCGCATTCTTGCTGTACACATGCAAATCCCCTGTCAAGGTAGGGGGTGAAACGTGGTTTGACCGGTGCTGTCCCTATTTTGCCAGAGGCTTCCCTTTACCTTTGCCTTTGTCCCCAACCGCCTCTAAAGACTTCTGGCACTTATCGTAAAGCGCCTTGTAATCATCGTCGTTGTGAAGATACCCCCAATTCTTCCACTCCTCGCTCAACCACGTAATTGCCAAGTTCTTCCACGAGCAGGTTGTAGACAGAATCGTGTCAGCACCGATCTTCAAAGTAAGAGCCATATCATCAACTTTGATAGCTTTAGAATTGAAACCCCAATTGGTGAGCAACTTCTTGAAGCCAAAAAGAAAACGAAGAGGGACACGTACATGGACAGGTTGGTCTTGATTCGCCCACACCCTTTTTCCAGAGCGCGTGATGGATGTGGTCCGGAACTTGTGCACGACTGTCTGGAGGTCGTCCGGGTTGGCCATTTTGCCGAAAACGAGGCCTGAAAATGTGTTCCTTTTGATGAAGATGTCGACGGGTGGTGAGACCTTCGCCTTGCGAAGCTCTGCCTTGATGAACTTCTCTGCCTCCTCCAAAGAGGAAAGCCCGTCCAAGCCACCGAACACTGCCGTCGCAGCGTCTGTTTTTCCACTCGCCGTCGATAGATTCTTCATCATGGTTTCCAATTCTGCCAAGCGATGTTGCAATGATCCCTGGGTGATCTCCGTGCCGTCCGAGCGCGGAGTGTATTGGGCCGACTTCGCTTCTATCTCCACTCGCTGTGAAATAGCCTCCAAGTCTTGCATGATCGGTTGGAGAGCTCCGTCAAGGTCGTCGCGAGAAACTCCATGCAACTTTATGGCTGATATGTCTTGGCGTATTGGTGCCAAATGCTGCTCCAAAAGACGTGCCATAGAAGAAAACGTTAGTGAATCTCCCCCCTGTTCATGATGTTGTTGAAGTCCATGGGCAGCTCCTGTGATTGCGCTCGTGGTGTTCTCCCCTGTTGACGCCCCAGATCCTTCAGTTCCTGAACCCCTTGCTCCAACGTCGTCGTCAAGCCCATCCATCTCATGAAGTGGGCTGTGGACCCTGTGCTGTTTAAACAATTGCCTGACAGGAGTACCGGGCAAAGCCATCGAAGTAAAGAGAGAGAGACCGGAAAAGGGGCTTGAGCCATCGAAGTAAAAAGAGAGAGACCGGAAAGCCATCGAAGTAAAGAGAGAGACCGGAATTCCAGAAATGTGGCAAATCCCCTGTGTTTTCGGATCCTGACCCCGCCGACCTGCGTGAGGGGTGGCACCGAATTTCAGAAATGTGGCAAGTCCCATGTGTTTTCGGACCTTGACTTCGCCCAGGAGGGCCCAGGAGGCTCCAGGAGAGCCCAGGAGAGCCCAGGAGGGCCCAGGAGAGCCCAGGAGGGCCCAGGAGGACCCAGGAGGCTCCAAGAGGCACCAGGGGGCCCAAGGAGGGCCCAGGAGAAGCTCCAGGAGGCTCCAGGAGAGCCCAGGAGGGCCCAAGAGGTCCAAGGAAGACCCAGGAGGGCCCAGGAGCCCTTACGAGGGATCGTGGCCCTGGGAGCGCTGACGTAGCGTAATTTACGAGGGATCGTGGCCCTGGGAGCGCGGGTGTAGTGTAATTGAGGATGTCTCGGGCGACACGCTTGTTTTTCAGAATTTGTTGAGGATGTCTCCAGCGAAACGCTGGTTTTGCAGAGTTGGGGATGTCTCGAGCGAAACGCTTGGTTTCAGAATTTGTTGAGGATGTCTCGAGCGAAACGCTGGTTTTGCAGAGCCGACCGCGACACGGAAAAGCGCTCCTCGCGCAGGAAATCCGAGGATGTCTCGCGCGTGCCGCGTCCCGCGCGCAGGAATTTTGATTTCTTGGGGTTTTGACAGGATTTCTCAAGCGAAACGCTTGTTTTTTTTATAATTTGTTGAGGATGTCTCGAGCGAAACGCTGGTTTTGCAAAATTGGAGGATGTCTCGAGCGGGGGCCTCGTGGGGGGGCCAGAATTCAGAGGATGTCTCAGGCGAAATGCTTGTTTTCGTGTCCCGCTCGCAGGAATTCCGAGGATGTCTCGCGCGTGCCGCGTCCCGCGCGTAGGAATTCTGATGATTTTGATAGGATGTCTCGAGCGAAACGCTTGTCCCCAGCACGTTCAGTAGCGCGTCCCCTTGGCACGTCCCGCGGTGCGACCCCATGGCACGTCCCCTGGCACGTCGCCTGGCGCATCCCTTGGGACGTTTCGCGGCGCGTCCTCCTGGCATGTTCCCCTTGTCAATTAGCTCTGGGGCAGCTACTATGTGTTCAGGCAGCTCGAGCTTAAGATCCAGATCAGTTCGGTCAGGACTCGGATGCAAAGGAGGACTCGATCCACGACGCTATAGAGCACAACCGCGGCATGGCACATCGCAATTCAGCACGGTGCAGCACAGCACAGCCTTCGGCAGGGTACATCAAGATCGATACACTCAGCATTGCAACTTGGCACGTTCCTTGGCACGTTCCGTGGGGCGTCCCTTGGCGAGTCCCCCTGGCACGTCGCGTGGCGCGTCCCCTGGCACATTCCGTGGCACATCCATTGGCACGTTCCGTAGCGCGTCCTTTTGGCACGTCCTACGGTGCGTCCCCATGGCGCGTCCCCTGGCACGTCGCCTGGCGCATCCCTTGGGACGTTTCGCGGCGCGTCCTCCTGGCATGTTCCATTGTCCATTAGCTCTGGGGCAGCTACTATGTGATCAGGCAGCTCGAGCTTATGATCCAGATCAGTTCGGTCAGGACTCGGATGCAAAGGAGGACTCGATCCACGACGCTATAGAGCACAGTCGCGCCATGGCACATCGCAATTCAGCACGGCGCAGCACAGCACAGCCCTCGGCAGGGTACAGCAAGATCGATACACTTAGCATTGCATTTGCCCGTCACCCAATCAGGTGTCTTTGAAAACGCTGCCATGTGTTACAGTTCTATATTCCTTTTCGGGGTTCGTGGGTCGATCATGTTGTCCAAGTTTGGCCATCGGCAATCAGGGCCACCAGCCGTTGCCCCTGATAAACTACTCCTTCGGGTCCAACGGGCCGCCCAGCTGGGCCCGCGCAGCTAGGTCTCGACCACCTGCCAGCCTTTGCAGGTCCGCATGTGCTTTCGGTCGATGGCCGGGCACCGCACCACTTGCCGCGAGTACCGAGGGCGTGCCGCCTGACGTCAGGAGGCTGAACGATCTGCAAATGCCGATCGTCGTCGCCTTCGGGAGCTGTGCCACTACTGCAGCACATGCACAGGCGTCGACATACAGTGGGGGCGCGCATCAAGAGACCATGCGCTCTTCGTCAGGGTATCCTGGGTTTCTTCGCTCCGCCCGCTGCGCGGTGACTTCCCGCAGCCGTTGAAGAAGCTGCTGCGTTCAGGGCGCTCCCGGATTCCCCTCAGGCGCACCTCGCGCGCGGGTTTTCAGGGTTGGATTTCTTGCGAGGGTTTTTTGCGGCCGCGCCCTCACTGTACGTGCGGCGACCATGCGGGCCAGGAACAAAGCCAGCGCATCGGAGGGCAGAGACATGAGAAGCTAAGCTGTAAGAGGGCAGAGACATGAGTACACCACTAACGCGGGCTCCGTCACCGGACCGGGATGCTCGAACAGCCAGAACATGTCGAGCGTCCCGATTTGTGCCCCCCGCTGTAGGAGAGCTGGTCCTTCATACCTCATACCTCTGCAGGATGTCCATTTCCAGGTCCGAGACCACCCGGTTGCTTAGTTGAAACACGAGTAGCTCCTCACCCATCATCATGGGACTCGTTTGTTATTCACCAATACCTAGAGAGGAAGCTCCAGCCCCTGCTTCAGCCATAATACAACCAAAGCTGCTAGGAAAGTGCGCCCGGAGGAGGGGGAGGAGGAGGAGGAGGAGGAGGAGGAGGAGGAGGAGGGGCGGGGGGCCGAGGGCACGTGAGGGAAGGGGGAGGCGAGAATGCTGGAAGATGGGGCACCAGATGGGGATGGGTCCCCGTGCCCCCCACTCCCGTCCTCTTCCCATCCTCTTGCGCCGTCCATTCCCCCTCCTCCTCCTCCAGACTCCTCCTCCTCCTCCTCCTCCTCCGACCTCCGCCTCCTCCACCTCCCCCGCCCATCCTCTTATATTTCTTCTCCTTCTTCTCTCCCTCCTCCGCCTCCTCCGCCCTGCCCACCCCCCTGCCCCTGCACGCCGCCTGGGCAGGTGCGTCGTCCCAGAGTGCGACCGGTTCTGGGCGGAGTTCGGATTTCCCGTGGGCTGTCGGCTGAGGACCGGCCCCCGGGCGGCGGAGGTGGATGCCGGTGCCTGAAGAGGAGCAGGCGGCGGTCGGTTTTTCATACCGGCGGGCGTGCATGCGGTGACGTGCGGGTTCGGGGCTGTTTTCGCGCAGCGCGCGCACTGACGGAAGACAGGGGAAACCCATGCCAAGAAGCATTTTGCTTGCCTCCAGGGTGCCCTGGGTTTCTTGGGTTCGGTCGTTTTGCGATGGAAAGCGTGACGTTCCCACAGCAGAAATCGATGGACGTCCTGGGGTCTCAGGGTTGGGTTTCTTGTGGAAGATTACTTTTGGTCGAGCTCTTACTGTATATGATCGGTGTTCGCCTGGTACTGGCCGCAGCATGCCAGACTGCATGCTGATGTCGATCGGAGCACATGCTGCCGTGATCTTGCATGCCCGCGAGCTATCCGAGCGGATCGTCAGGTCTGTGTGTCGATATTTTGCAACAAGTTTTCAGCATGAGGATAAAGCTCGCAAGTCTACGTGTCACCGTAAGCACAGCACCATCAGTCGCCACTTGCTCTTGATCTGAGAAGGTGGGGGAGACGGTGTCCGGTAGGGCGTGAGTCATGCAACTTTGCATATCAGGTCAGATCGGGCATTCCGTCATCGACCATCATCGATCACGCCAGCCCATTCGCCCCGCAGATTTGGGGGAGTTTCGGAGGCTTAACGTACAGCACTTCTGGCACGGCGTATGGCCCACTTTGTAATGATGGTGATGATCGTCGTAGTCGCCCTCCTCATCCCCCACCTCTCGATTCTGAAGGACCTTCGAGGGCTTTGCTTACGGCACCTCGGGTCCCGTGCATGTAACGGACCAGGTCACGCAGGCTCTAAACGCGCGTTGTTTTGTATGTTTTTCCTTCAGCTGCGTATCCTCGGCTCTCTGCTCGTGGTCTTCACCTCGCCAGATATAGCAGGAGGGGCATCGACTGTTATCAGGTTCACGCCTGCGTTTGACATTCCTCTCGTGACACCGCTGCCGCTACCCATGCTGCAGCTCCTGCCCCCGCCGCTGCTGGTCCGCCTCTGCCTCCACCACCGCCTCTTCACCCTCTCCTCCGCATCCATCTTCGCCTCTGCTTCTATTCTGCGCGCCCTGTCCCCTCCCCCCTTCCCTATCCCGTTCCCCGGAGCGAGCTCTGCATCCGATTAATGTCTGGCGCGACTGACATTTGGTTGGGGCCGTCAGCGGAGCGCCGCCAGACGAACGAAGGGGCGCGCGAAGTTAAATTCGTCCGCCTCCAATGACGCACGGAGCTGGGCTAAGCCTTTTTCCCGGAAAGGGCGCCGGCCCAGGGTTCTCTTTTAGTGGGTTCACCCCCGGTTTTGACTTGAAGAGGGCCGGTGAAATTATTCTGCGTAAATAACGAGGTAAAGTGCTGATTTGTTTTGAAAAAGTGCGTTTCGTGCGTGCCCGCTCGAGGAAAGTGCGCCCCCCATCTCGGATCCTCGATAAAAAACGGGGTCCGCAGACCCCCGTTTTCCTTGTAAAAAAAAGGATGCGGAGCGTTTTTCACAGAATCCTCGTCAAATAACTGGGTCTGGAGCCCCGACCGCGACGCGGAAAAGCGCCCCGCGGGCAGGAATTCCAAGGATGTCTCGCGCAGGCCGAGTCCCGCGCGCAGGAATTTCGAGGATGTCTCGATTAATTCGCTTGTTTTGTCAGGATGTCTTAGAATTTTGGCAGGATGTCTCGAGCGAAACGCTTGTTTTTTGGAATTTGTTGAAGATGTCTCGAGCGAAACGCTGGTTTTGCAAAATTTGGGGATGTCTCGAGCGGGGGCTTCGTGGGGTGCCAGAATTCAGAGGATGTCTCAGGCGAAATGCTTGTTTTCGTGTCCCGCTCGCAGGAATTCGAAGGATGTCTCGCGCGGGCCGCGTCCCGCGCGCAGGAATTTCGAGGATGTCTGGACTCATTCGCTTGTTTTGTCAGGATGTCTTGGAATTCTGGCAGGATGTCTCGAGCGAAACGCTTGTTTTTTAGAATTTGTTGAGGATGTCTCAAGCGAAACGCTGGTTTTGCAAAATTTGGGGATGTCTCGAGCGGGGGCTTCGTGGGGGGCCAGAATTCAGAGGATGTCTCAGGCGAAGTGATTGTTTTCGTGTCCCTCTCGTAGGAATTCCAAGGATGTCTCGCGCGTGCCGCGTCCCGCGCGCAGGAATTTTGAGGATGTCCCGTGGCGCGTCCCCTTGGCACGTCCTACTGTGCGACCCCATGGCACGTCTCTTGGCACGTCGCCTGGCGCGTCCCTTGGGACGTTTCGCGGCGCGTCCTCCTGGCATGTCCCCCTGTCAATTAGCTCTGGGGCAGCTACTGTGTGTTCAGGCAGCTCGAGCTTCAGATCCAGATCAGTTCGGTCAGGACTCGGATGCAAAGGAAGACTCGATCCACGACGCTATAGAGCACAACCGCGGCATGGCACCCCTGTCAATTAGCTCAGGGGCAGCTACTATGTGTTCAGGCAGCTCGAGCTTCAGATCCAGATCAGTTCGGTCAGGACTCGGATGCAAAGGAAGACTCGATCCACGACGCTATAGAGCACAACCGCGGCATGGCACATCGCAATTCAGCACGGTGCAGCACAGCACAGCCCTCGGCACGGTACATCAAGATCGATACAATCAGCACTGCACTTGGCCGTCACCCAATCAGGTGTCTTTGAAAACGCTGCCATGCGTTACATTTCTATATTCCTTTCCGGGTTCGTGGGTCGATCATGTTTTTGCGCAGCACATGTTCGACGAATTCTTGTTTAGCTTAGCCTCCGACCAGCCCTCGGGGTCTCCGAGTGGTGTTCCACAAATGCTTGGTATCGCTCGGAAGTGTGCATGCTTCCTCGGCGAGGAGCCTTTTGGGCCATCGTGCGAGAATGGACGCGCGAAGCCGAAACGTGCACGGGGAACGGACGTCCGGTGGCGAGAGTATAGATCAGACAGAAGGCTCCAGCGCCTCCTTGGCGACACTGGCCAGATGGGGCCACGAAAAGTTGTACTGGGTGGGCGGGACGCATGCGGGCGGTAGCACTGGGACCTTCGGTGGAGCTCCCTATGGGGCCACGAAGCGCTGCGCTCAGTGGGGGGCGCACACAGGCGGTAGAACTGGAGCCGCCGGTGGCGCTCCCGATGGGGCCACGAAGCACTGTAATGGGTGGGGTGGACGCATGCGGGCGGTGCCACTGGGACCTTCGGTGAAGCTTCCTATGGGGCCGCGAAGTGCCCCGTTACAGCTTTTCGTGGCTCCCTCGCTGCCTTTCGTGGACCCGTTGCAGCCCTTCGTGGCCCCCTCGCTGCCCTTTGTGGTCCCGTTGCAGCCCTTCGTGGCCCCCGCGCTGCCCTTCGTGGCCCCGTTGCAGCCTTTCGTGGCATGCATGTGCTTCATGGTTCCGCTGTCGCCCTTCGTGGCCCCTTCGCTGCCCTTCGTCGCCCTGTTGCTGCTCTCAGTGGCCCCGTCCTTTTCCTCCGCGACCCAATCTACGTATGCCCTTCGTGGCCCCCGCTCATTCGCGCCCGTCGTGGCCCCATATGCATGCCCTTCGTGGCCCCGCTGTCGCCCTTTGTAGCTCCCTCGTTGTCCTACGTGGCCCGTTGCTATCCTCAGTGGCCCCGTCGTTGCCCCGATGTGGCCCCCCGTTATCTGCCCTTCGTGGCCCCATACGCATACGTATAGTGGCCCCGCTGTCGCCCTTCGTGGCCCCCTTCCTGCCCGTCGTGGCCCCGCTGTCGGTTTCGCTCTCGCTTTCGCTCGTCGTCGTCGTCGTCGTCGTCGTCGTCGTCGTCGTCGTCGTCGTCGTGGTCGGTCCCCTGTCCGTCCCTCTTGGGGTCGGGCTGCCGCCGATCAGCGCTGTCGCTTGCCAGGCCGACGTTCCGCGGCCGCCCCGCCGCTTGCCAGGGCCCGGCCTGCAGGGAAGAATGATATACTCCACCAAGAGCGGGTAGTGAGGGTTTGGGAAATACACGTTGAATGACATTCGAGCAGATGAGAGCGAACAGTCCTAAAATGATTGTTGTTGTCGTCGTCGTTGTCGTCGTCGTCGTCGTCGTCCCCCACGCGACCCAGGTCGCGACCCACCCGCGACGCACCCGCGACCACTTGTGACCCACCCGCGACCCACCTGCGACCCACCCGCGACCCACCCGCGACCCACCCCGCGACCCATTTGCGACCCATCCGCGACCCACCCGCGATCCAACCCGCGACCCACCCCGCGACCCGCCCCGCGACCCACCCGCGACCCACCCGCGACCCACCCGCGACCCACCTGCGACCCACCCACATTGGTTTAACGAAACATCGGCGAGAATTAGGCGCCTGCGGTGGGCTTCTTCAGAGCCTCGCAAACTCCGCCGCCCCCTCACTCTAATCCGCGACTGCGGGGTGCTGCGTATTCAAATCAAACTTGGTGCGCTCGTGCCACATCTAATACCTTCCTCCTTCCGCCCACCCCATCGCGCTGATGTTTCTCTATCCGTGGATGCGTGTCATAGCGGGCCTGGAACTCCCAACCAAGACCAGAACAAGGGAGCTGCGCACATCGGAGGAGGGGGAGGAGGAGGAGGAGGAGGAGGAGGAGGAGGAGGAGGAGGAAAAGGAGGAGGAGGAGGAGGAGGAGGAGGATAATGAGGAGGAGGAGGAGGAGGACCAGTGTGAACCCATGAGTCATCAACGATTTTGGAACAAACCCTCATATTTCCAAGTTCCCTCTTCATATGCCCATGCAAAAGCCCATGTCCACTGAGGGAAATGCCTCGCTGGGAGGCGACTATTTGAAGACCCGGAAGCATGCGAAAACATCATTTTCGGGACTCCAACGGCACGGATCAGCTTGACTGTTGCCTCTTGACGGTCCTGAATCGTGCCAAAACACCATTCTTGGGACTTCAACACCGCGAATCAACTTAATTGATGCGCCCTCACAAGCTTGAATATTTCCAAATGCCATTTTTGCTACGATGACCATGGCAGCCGGTGACACTCTTGCAAATATTTAAACGACTGCGCGCAGCGCTAAGGCGATAACCACAAGTTGAACAAATGTTTCAATTCGCAAAACTGTTGTTGATGGTTAAGGTTAGTGTGCGCGGCGCTAGGGCGAGAGCCACATTTGAAAACCACCCGCCCTCCATGTGTGAAATTGGTGCCAGTGTTTAGGCTTCGGGGTCAGCAATGGTGAGGAAGGCTCAGGCGAAACGCCGGGCCCGCGAGGGGGAGGGGGAAGAGGAGGTGGCGCAGGAGCAGGAGGATGAGCAGCAGGAGCATGGGAAGGATGAGGAGGAGGAGGAGGAGGAGGGGGAGGAGGAGGAGAACAAGACCGAGGACGAGGACGAGGACGAGCAGCAACATCGGGAACTGGGCGGAAGGGGCGGGAGGAGCAGGAGGACCAGGGGAAGGCGGAGGAGGAGAAAGGAAGGGAGCGACAACGAAGAGGGGATTTGGATCCAGAAAGTTGGCCCGCGCTTGCACCAGAGCGCCATACCGCCGATCCTCTATTGAGGCCAACGCTGCAGTGACAGAGACACCGAAGACGCCTCGTTAGAAAACACAGTTGGTCATACCGACTGGGGCCATCCTCAAGCAGTTTTGGGCCGTTTTGAGGCCATCTACGAAATCATCTGCGGTCTTCTCGGTGGCATGATGGGCCCTCTGTCCAGAGACAAAGGGGGAAACCCAGACAGGACCCTTCTAGCACGCACGGGGGCCTGCATTGTAGGTCGTGCGCACCCGTGGATCGACTCTATTGTCGTCACAGGCATTGTCTTGCTCGTGCCCCTCTGGCTGCTTGCTGCTGATGTCCAGCACTTTCAGTTTCAGTCTGGTCATTGCTCCACGTCTTGTCGGTGTCGCTCGTCGGGTACTGCCGTCTCCGTTCAGGAGGCGCGGGTGCGACGCGGGTGGTTAGGAAAAGCCATCGCCAGTCTTACCGTGTCGGGAACAACCTTCTTTCTCCCTCGCCCCCTTCCCCTCCTCTCGTCCCCCTTCTCCCCCCCCTTTCCTCTCCTCTCGCCCCCTTCCTCTCCCTCTTCCTCCCCCTCTTCCCCCCCTCTCCCCCCCCCTTCCTCTCCTCGCCCCTTCTCTCGCCCCGCGCCCGCCTGGCGCGCAGCCCCTGCCTCTCCCGCCAGGCGACGTCGGCAGAGTACTCGCTGCCCGGCCCGTGCCCGTCGGGCAGGTGCTCTGGGAGCGCGGAGGCCGCCCGGGGCGCGGGGAGGGCAGCACGGCCTTCTTGCTCTCTCTTTCCCTTCTCTCCCTTCCCTCCCTATCTCTCCCTATCTCTTAACTCTCTTCTCTCTCCACTCTCTCTCTCTCTCTCTCTCTCTTCAGAGGACGAAGGGTTGCCAATACCGCTACCCTCCGCCCGTTTTCTCCGTTTTGGGCCTCCTCGGAGGCCCTCGTCGCCGACGTCGGATTCGCCTCGAAATTCTAGTCGGGACGCACTCCGGGAGTGCTCATGGGAGTAGCGGTATTGGTACCGTTTGGTCTCCCCATTCGGGGGCGGAAAAGAGGGGGGTGATGACTAGGGGGGGTGGATATCATGGCGGGGGCCATGATATCTCCCCAGATCTCATGGCGCCTCTACTTATTTCACTACGTCCCTGGCCCCCCCGCTGTGCCGCGCACATGCCGCCGGTCATGATTTGCACCCCCCTCTTGGACACCCCCCTCTTGGCCGCTCCCGACCCATCTCTTTTTCTTCTCTCCTTGCTCCTTCCGTCCTGCCGTTTTCTCTTCGAAAGGGCTTAAGCCCAGGGTTCTTTTTTAGCTCTTTCCCCCCGGAATCGACGGGAAGAGGGCCGGCGAAATTGTGTATGAGGATGTCCCGAGCGAAACGCTTATGCTTCAGAATTTGTTGAGGATGTCTCGAGCGAAACGCTTGTTTTGTGTTGTAGAGTGTTCCTCTCCTGGGGACCAGAATTCAGAGGATGTCTCAGGTGAAACGCTTGTTTTACGTATGTTCTGCATTGGGATATGTATTCGGCTAACGCTTTTCGCTTCCCCACGCCCCCCAGGACGCCCCAGGAGGCTCGAGAAGCGTGGAAACACATCGATTCCTAACGCCCCAGGGCGGGACAAGCGTCAAAAAACATGGGTTCCTGACGCCCCAGGGCGGGAGAAGCGTGAAAACACATCGGTTCCTAACGTCCCAGGGCGGGACACACGTGAAAACACATGGGTTCCTAACGCCCTGGGGCGGGAGTAACGCAAGAACAAATGGGTTCCCAACTCCCCAGGAGGCTCCGTGAGGCCTCAGGAGGCCCAAGAAGGCATTGTTCCGTGTTGGGATCTGTGTTCGGGGGGCACTCTTCGGCCTCCCCCGCTCCCAGGAGCCCCGGGAGGCATTGTTCTGCATTGGGATATCAATTCGGAGGCGCTTTTCGCTTCCCCCCGCCCCCCAGGAGGCCCCAGGAGGCTCGAGAAGCGTGACAGCTCATCGGTTTCGCAGGGTGGGAAAAACGTGAAGACACATGCGTTCCTAACGCCCCAGGGCGGGAGAAGCGCGAGAACACATCGGTTCCGAACGCCGCAGGGCGGAACAAACGTGAAAACACATGTGTTCCTAACGCCCCAGGGCGGGGCAAGCCAGAAAACATATAATATAGTTCCTAACGCCCCAGGGCGGGAGAAGCGTGATACAGTTCGGTCAGGACTCGGATGCAGAGGAGGACTCGATCCACAACACTATAGAGCACACTTGCGGCATGGCACATCGCAATTCAGCACGGCGCAGCACAGCACAGCCCTCATCGCGGTACATCAAGATCGATACATCCAGCATTGCAACTCGCCACGCTCCTTGGCACGTTCCTTGGCACGTTCCGTGGCGAGTCCCCGTCGCGCGGCGCGTCCCCTGGCACGTCCCATGGCACGTTCATTTGCACGTTCCGTGGCGCGTCCCCTTGACACGTCCCGCGGTGCGTCCCCATGGTATGTCCCCTGGCACGTCGCATGGCGCGTCCCTTGGGACGTTCCGCGGCGCGTCCTCCTCGCATGTCCTCTCGTCAATTAGCTCTGGGGCAGCTATTATGTGCTCAGGCAGCTCGAGCTTAAGATCCAGATCAGTTTGGTCAGGACTCGGATGCAAAGGAGGACTCGATCCACAACGCTACATAGCACAATCGCGGCATGGCACATCGCAGTTCAGCACGGCGCAGCACAGCACAGCCCCTCAGCGCCTGGGTGGTCTGCCGCCCACCACTTGGGCGTTGAGGGAACACTTGTCTGAAGGGCACGCCTAGTCTGGTGCCCTGGCCGCGGTGCACCCCTGGGGAGGGGAGAGGAAGGAATCAAAAGCACAGGTCAACGAGGAACAATCGTGGATCAAGGCGCGTGCCTCACGGGTCCCCGCTTCCGTACAGCATCGGCGCGCTTTGTGTCCAGATCGGGTGGCATGGGCACCATGCTTCGGGGGGCACCTTTCCCATCCGTGGATCTGGCGCCCACGCGTCAGATCCATGGATCCTTAATCCATGTTAGCGTGCGCCCAAAATTGGTGGGGGCGAGGGGGAAGAAGAAACTGGAGCGAGGAAGTGGAATGTCGGAGTGTCGGGGGCGTCCAAGAATGGGTGATGACCAGGGGTGTGTGGACATCGTGGCCGGAGCCACGAAATGTCGCCTCTTCTTCTTTCAGTGCGTTCCACGCCCCTTCCCCCCTCCATCTTTCTGGCCCTCCTCTTCGGCGCACCCAGGAGGGTAGGATGGTAATACCGATGGGAGACACACGGGCGCTCTCGACAAGCTGCTGGAAGTAATCGCGTTCTGCGCTGGAGGTAGTCGGTTTCCCCCCAGTCGGAGAATTCAGATCCACGCATTGATGGGGCCACTGGAGTTGCACAAATGAACCAGCAGCACACTGTGCGAAAGCCCTGCCCGACCACCGCGGCTAGTGCAAGTACAGAAGGGTTGGCCTGCGTGGCGGCCGAGTCCGTAACCGTCAAAGCCCTAATTGTGGAGCATGCTAATGCTAATGCTAGTGGGTGCTCTGTCAATACACGATTGTCGACACTGCCTCAGACACCTTGAAGCAAGCATTTGCAACAGAGGACTGGGCCAATGCAGCTGGCGCATATGTTGGGCTCATTGTAAGTGTGAGGGCACTTTTCCGTGGCAGTATTGAACTTTGGAGGCGAGATACCGTGGAAACAGGGTACTCAGTCAACCTTGCGGCGGCGTTGAGAAGCTCGAGGATCTTCATGCATGTATCCAAGATTCTGCGGCAGTCTCATCACAGCTCTAGTTGAGCACTTATCGTTTCTGTTCCTTCAGAGTCTCCCATGAGGGGACTGTCTAGGTCGTCTTGGGGCCCTCTTGGGCTCCTGTGGGCCCTCTTGGGGCACTGTTTGGCTGTCTTGGGGGCTATCTTGGGGCCCTCCTGGGCTGTCCTGGGCCCCCCTCTTGGAGCTGTCTTGGGGCCCTCTTGGAGCTGTCCTGGGCCGTCAGGGGGGCTTCTGGAAGTCATCATTGGGCTCTTGTGGCCTTTCTTTACCACCGAGGTCCTCTTGCCCACGAAACTCACGGTGTGCAACAGCTTTTGGAATTTCCTTGGTTTTTGAATGGGGCTGGGCCCCCCACCCCGCCCAGGAGCTTGCACTTCCGCTGTCGACGGCCCACCGCCGATCCATCTGCGATGTGTCGCCGATTCCAAGTCAATGCCCCCCCTCTGAGCCAGTCCCCCTTGTCTTTCCCTTTCCCCCTCATCACTGGGCAGGGTGCGGGGCTGGCGATGGCGCCGGCGGTTACGCTGCTGCAGCCGGCGGAGCTGCTGGTGCTGCTGATGTCGCTGCTTGTGTTGCCGCTGCCGATGCCGCCTTCGCCGCCTCAGCTGCCGCTGCCGCCGCTGGCGTCAGCGTCGCTGCTTGCAACTGCGCTGCGGGTGCTCCTGTTGCCTTCCTGGTGCCGCCGACGTTGACACCGTTGTCCATCGTCCTCCCGCCCTGTTCCTCGAGGTGCCCGGTGGCGCCTGCATCGTGGTGACAGGAGCACCGGCGATCGAACGGCAGTCTGTGGCTGGCTGCAACGAGCGCTGTCCACGCCGATTCTTCCTTTTGCCACTGTGCCAGCTCCCTGGCCGCCCTCATTCGCCCCTTGCCCCCTCGTCTCGACTTGTCATCGCCTGCGAGGCTCTTTCTCTCTATCTCCCTCTCAGCCTTCCCCCTCAGACCTGCTATATTGCGAAGGCCTTACGGCCGATGCCGCCGACCCTGGAGACGACCCTGTCGTCTGGGCGCGCCAGCCCTCGCGGATCGGACGGTGGCTGCGAGGCGCTGTCGGACGTCGGAGGCGTTGAAAGCGCGCTTGCCGCGCTCGGGAAAGTGTCCCTTCTCCGTTCTGTGATGGGGAGGAGGAGGAGCAGGCGGAGGAGGACGACAAGGTCGAAGAGGAGGGAATACCTAGTTGTTTTGTAACTTCCTAGTTTGTTATGTAGCTTCCTAGGAGAGTTTTTGGGGCCTCTCGGGAGCCTCTTGGGGCCTCTGTGGGCTTCCTGGAGGGCCTCTTGGGGGCTTCTCGGGGCTGAGGGCTCGAAATGTCCGTTCGGGTCCCCCGTCTGGGCGCTCTCTTGGAACCGTTTTAGGGAGCCTTTTTGTGAATCTGGGAGGCGTCTTGGGCCGTCTTGGGGCACTTTTGGGCCGTTTGGAGACCCTCTCGGAGGCCTCTTGGGCCGTGTCGGGGCGATCTTAGGAGCCTCTTGGGCCGTCTTGGCGCGTGGGGAAGCGGAAGAGGCGAAAACGCCAAAAATCCTTGAACAACGTATGGGAATCCATGATTTGTACCTTTTGGGGCTCTCGTGGGAACGGTCCTGGAGGCCTCTTGGGGCGTCTCGCAGGCCTCTTGGGCCTTATGGAGGCCGTCGAGGCGTATTGGACAGATCATTCGGCGATTTGGCGCCCTCTTGGATCGTCTTGGTGGCCTCTCTGGGCACTCTTGGCCCGTCTTGGGACTTTTTTGGGCTCCGGGATCCCCCGGGGGGGCGGCGTCAAAACCCGGGACCCCCCCCGGGACCCACCCCGGGGGGCGGCGTAAAAACCCGGGACACCCCCCGGGACCCATCCCGGGACCCCCCCCCCCGGCGGGGAAGGGATCAAAGGGAAGGGGCCTCTTTTCGACTCAATTACGACGTTGTTCAATTTCGCCGAGGAGGGAACAGACGGAGAAGCCTCTTCCACACGCCGACAGGGTCGGCGGATTTACCATTGTGTGTTGCCTCCAGCTTCGCCTAGTCTCCCTTGTTAGCTCTCCCTCATCCGTCTCTTTGACCAACTGGCTATTATCATTTTTCTCCCCTCCTCCTTTCCATCCCCTCTAGGATGACGACACTGGTGATGGCGGTCGTGTCGCAGACGCCTGCGGCGAATCCTGCCCTTTGGAAAGGCCTATGTGGCCAAACGTTAGGCCATCGTCCGCCACCACCACCACCTCTTTCTTCAACGTACGTAACCACCTTTCCTGATTGCGCATCACGCGATGGGGTCCACTTGAAAAATCAAGGTCCTCTAGGACACTCCAATCGATGGATAGACAAGAATTCAGCGCAATGGGAAGGGGTGGGTAGGAGGGGTAGGATGTCAAATGCGGCGCGAGCAGATCTATCTTGCCCCTGTCCCCTCGCCCTTCTCTCTCCCTCCCTTCTTCTCCCCCTTCTCCCTCCTTCCCTCACTCTTTCCCTCCTGTGCATCCATCCGCCCCCTCCGCTCCCGACTCCTCAGGGGCTTGAGATTGGGAGGTTCAAGTTCGCCACCGCAGATTATTCTGCTTTTTTTGATCTTCGTCCGACCGTGGCCACGAGGGCGTTTCAGGAGGGCCACAAACCTTTGAAAGCTTCGAGCATCGATCTTCGACTCTCCCCCGCTCTCCCCCCCCGCCGCTGTGCACTCCCCGTTCCCGCCCGAGGATCTCCCGACTGCACCTACCACGCCGAGGAGGCGGCCGGCTTGGGGGTTGCGCCCGCGGTCCGAAAAGGGGTGACGACTTTTTTGATTGTTCGACCTGTTCGGGGCCGGGGAGCGGGAGTGGGACGGAGGGATGGTGGGATGGTGGGCAGGTGTCCCTCCTGCTCTTCCTCTTCCTCCTCCCCCCTTGCTCTCCCTCCTCCTCCACCCCTCTCTCGTCCTCCTCCTCCTCCTTCTCCTCCTCCTCTTCGTCCTCCTCCTCCCTCCTCGCTCCTCCTCCTCCGCGCTCCCTGTTCGCCTCCTCCTCCCTTCCCTCCTCCCCCTCCTCCGCGCCCTCCCACTGTCAACACTGACATGTGGGGAGTTGTTGAGCCAAGCTACGTATGTAGGCAGGACCCCGCCCGATACTGCTTTGTAGCTGTGCGTGGCAACGATCTTGGGGATTCGCCCTGCTTCGCATCTGTGCATCATCACGTCTCTGTGGAGCTCGTTCCCTGCATCTCACATGTTTCGCAGACAGTCTGACCGAGGTCGAAGATCGAGGTCGGCTCCTGGAGGGTACCCTAATGTTCGTCGTGTTTGTCTGATTTCTTGTGCATCCTGGACGGGGTACCCTTGAATGTTCTGTGTTTTGGCCGACGGAGGGTCTCATGTTCTTGAGGAATGTTATTCTTGCCTAGGTCCGACTGTACTACATACCTGGCGCGACGTCGCTGATTTGCGACGTCCTTGCCTGCGACAGCCGCAGGTCCGGTGTCCGATGTCCGAGGGGGTAGTGAAGAAGAGAGTGGGGAAGGAAGACGAGCCCCACCTCCTCGCGTCGTTGAAAATAAAACATGACATGTGGGGATTCCTCCGTTGCGACTCCGCGCGCCCTGGCGACTCCAGCGCAATTTGTGGTGCAAGTGGCCTGTAAGCACGCCTACATACACGCCTATGCACACGACTATGTACACGCGTATGTACACGCCTATATACATGCCGATATACACACCCATATACACGCCTATGTACGCGCCTCTATACACGCCTATGTACATGCCTATAGACACGCCTATATACATGCGTACATACGCGCCTAAATACACGACTCTATACACGCCTAAATGCACGAATCTGGCCCCACCAAACGCTAAACCCCACAGACCTCTCAGAAATCTCTGTGAGCCGACCCCCGCAAACCCACGACTCCACAATCTTATCACCTCTCAAACCTCCTTACTCCTCAACCGCACCAAACCACCAACCACGCTACCAACCAGACCACGAGACCACCAACCACACCACCAATCGCACCACCAGACCTCCAGCCACACCACCAGACAATACCATCAAACCACCAGCCACAGCACCATCCACACCACCAACCGCATCAATTATACCACAAGCCGCACCACCAAACACACCACCAGAGACCTCCAGCCACACCACCAACCACGCCACCAGACAGCCAACAACACCACCATCCACAACACCAACCACAACACCGCAGCAACCACACCACCGTACACCAACTACCAGACCACACTGACCACTCCACCGGACAAGCTAGAGTTGCAACCGGGGCTTCTAGGAGCCGTCTCCATTTCAGCGTCCCATCTGGGGAGGCCCAATCCATTTGCGATTAAGTGGGGCTCGCGCGACGCTGCGTGATGATGCTTCGAGGGGCGGGACAAGAAATGCCAGTGCAAGAAACAATGCTCCGAGTCGTGCTGCGACCGCCGACGAGTGGTCAAATTTGGCTTGAGACAGCCTCAAGACCCCCAAGAAGATGGCCTCGCTCTCGAGAGGACCACCCCGTGGGTCCTAATGATTAGCATGATCGCCTCTTCCGTGCGTTATTTCTCTCCTTGTCGCGCAAAGTTCCACGCGAGGAGGAGACCCTACGACAATGTGGCTGTGAGCGCACGCACGCGGCCATATTCTGAGAAGAAGCGTTCTTCTTTCATTCGTCCTCGACGACGAGGAGCACGAGGGAGAAGGAGGGGGAATGGCGAGAAGGAAGGAGGAGAAGGGTAAGGAGTGGCAGTGGGTCCCCATCGACGCGGTCGGAGCCCCCGCTGATGCGGGCAGTGGTTGAAGGGGGTCGGACGAGGAGCTTCCCTAGACCACCTGCGCCCAGAGGTCCGGTGGGACTGCCTTCGGATCGGGCGGGCTGATGTGTGTTTTTCCCAGAAAGGGCTTCGGCCCAGGGTTCTCTTTTGGATGGCTCCCCCCCAGCCTCGACTTGAGGTGGGCCGGTAAATTTAATCTGCGATAAATAACAAGCTCAAAGGCCCGCCGCGTCTGGCGGTGCCCTGGCGAGAGAGCCAGGGCGGTCGACCTCCTGTAGCGGTTTTCTCCTCCACGCCTATGTCGGCGCCTACATACACGCCTGTGCGCACGCCGATATACACGGTTGTATACACGCCCATATGCATGCCAATATACGCACCTGTATACACGCTTATCTCCACGCTTACATGCACGCCTATATTTGCGCCGATATACGCGCTTACATATATGCCTATCTATGTTCCTAACTGCACGACTAGATACACGCTTATTTACATATCTCTAGGACTCTTCGTACGAGGGCACCAAGTGTTTTTGTCGGCATCGGCAACGGGGCAGTCTGCGCGCTGCTGCCCCGGACCTAGAAGCGCCCAAGAGCGCTCCAAGAGCGCCCCAAAAGGGGCCCAAGAGGCGGCTTCTGGGGCTCCCGAGGGGAAACGCAATTGTAGCTCCAATTGTTTGTTGGTCGATCTCTTGTACGAGGGCCCCAAGAGCGCCCCCAAGAGTTAAGATATCCTCTCTGCACACACGATTATATGAGTGAATTGTTGCATTGTGCATCTTCGTGATAAGCCCTTCCGACACAAAGCACTTCATGGTAGCGCAGGGTGCCGCTGCCCGCGCATGCCCGCGAAGATGCGCCAGAGTGGCTGTCGATCAGCCGACCGAGTGGCAACATCGAGTCGACCAAGATCAATTGACGAACGAACAACACGCACCCATACCCACAGGGGGGTCGTTGGGAGGAGGACTGGCTATGGCTATGGGTGCGGGTTGTCGGACCCTGGGGAACGCTCCCGTTCGAGCGGGGACCCCCATCCGACAACACGTACCCATGGCCCTCTCCGATCCCCCACATGGGTACGGGTGTGTGTTGCTGGTTCGTCATCAACAACGCCGCCGCGAGGCTGGAGAGCGGGCGGCCCCGCCCCAGCTTGCGGCCGCTGCCGGCGGGCAGCCCCGCCGGCACGCCAGGGAGCGGGCAGCCCCGCCCCCGCAGGAGGCCCCGCTCCGTGCGGGGAGGGGGAGCCTTCCGCGATCGGCGTGCGCGGGGCCGCCACAGCGCGAGCGAGCGCAGGAGGCGCGTGCGCCTGGATCCAAGAGGAGGAGGAGGAGGAGGCGGAGGAGGAGGAGGAGGGGGGGGGGGAAAAACAGAAAGGGAGAAGGGAAGGAGAAGGAGGAGCAGGAAGAACGCGGCGCGAGGAGGATGAACTGAGGCCGACCCCCTCGCATTTGAGTCCGTCGTGGGATCGGATTTTCTATTCCATGGGGGCCCGAGAGGTTCTTGCGAGGTGTTCTTGGGGATCTCTTGGGGCCACCCCACGGGCTCCCCCAGGCTCCCCGTGGGACCCTCTTGGGGGTATGTTGGGGCTTTCTTGAGGCTCTATTGGGGCTCTTTTGGGGAGTCTTGGGTCCCTCTTTTGGGGGGTCTGGGCGGCCTCTCGGGGCCGCCCTGGACCCCTTGAGTCAAACAGAGGGGGTACTAAATTTAGGCCCCCTCTCGGAGGCCCAAAAGTGGCGTCTTCGGGCCCTGTTGGATCGCCTTCGGGCGCTCTTGGGCGATTTGGGGGCCGTTTTGGGGCCCTCGGGGGCCACTCTCGGGGCTATGTTGGGCCATCTTGAGGCCATCTTGACGCCTCGAGAGCCCATCGGAAGCGAAAAAGCGAAAAGGCAAAACGCATGATGTTCCATCGGTGTTGATCCCATTTTAGCCACTTGGAAGGGGTCCTTGGAGGGCTCGGAGGGCAGTCGAAACCGTCTTGGGGCCGTCTTGGGGCCTCTTGGATGCGTGTTGGAGGTTATCTTGAGCCGTCTTGAGATATCTTGGGCGATCTCGGAGGTCATCTTGGGCTAGCCGGAGCCCTCTTGAAGCTATTCTGGGCCATCTTGGACGCTCCAACCCTTCGCGGGGGAGCCCGTCCCGACCCAGGGGGGGAAGTGCACATCCCGAGCAGGGAAAGGAAGGAGGCTGGAAAAAGGAAACGCACTAGACCACGTGCGCCCAGAGTGCTGGTGGGATTCAGCATCGGCGCTGGCATGCGTGCCCCTGGTCGAAATGAGGCCTACTCCGGCACGTTCCCGTTTAATTCAGATCTTCGGGTTTGATCCAGTTCAATCGGGGTGAATCCAAGTGTTTCCTGGTTTCGTTTCCTCTAATTGTAATAACGCCGCAACCTGGTTTCATAGCCCCTCATCGTTCTTACGCCTTCCAGGAGCTGCCTCCCAACATCCTCTCTCCCTTCCTCCTCCCCCCCCGGCGCGTGTTTCCCAGGCGGGCTCCGTGCGCGTCGACGAGCTCACGGGCATAACGGACCCCGCGCCCTTCCTCCGAGGCGCGGAGAGGGGGCGGGGGAGGGAAAAGGGGAAGCAGGGGAAAAAAGGGAAAACGAGGAGGGGAGAGGAGGCGGAACAGGAGTGCGGACCAGGTTCTTTCTGCCCTCGGACTCGTTGCCGCTCAGGAGACTTCACGCCTTCTGGAAGCGCGCCACTGCGATCCTCCAGCAATCTAGTTCTCGCGCGCCTGCATTGTGAGGACTGCTTCTGTATGGATTCAAAATTGTTACGAGCTGCGGGTGCCAGCCTCTATGATGATTGCCGACGCCATGTCCTTGTCTACTCACACGAGTCGTTTCAGCTGCTAAGTTGAAGTGCGCGTGTAGCTGAGTCAAACCGCAGGTGCTCTCAACTCATAGATGTGCTTGCTGTGGTGGGGGTCTTGCATCGACCAAGTGCCGAACAGCTCTTCCTGACGATCCGAAGGCAAGTCAGGCCCAACGGTTCCTGTGAAAAGGCGTGTGACAGGAACCAGCTGCTGTATCGTTCCCAGGTTTCCCCTTCCAGTGAACCAAAGATGCCGAAATGAGGCTGGGCCCATGGCCCGCCTAGGTACCAAGACACCTTGACCGAGCTCGCAAGAACGTTTGAAGGCAGTGCAAAGTCGATACTACGCCGTCCACCGCCCCCGTCTCGCAGCTTGGAAGGAACAGCAAGAGAAGCCTCCAGGAACTTGTACACTCAATAGGCCAGCACTTCATCTGGAGTAACATTCCAATCAGCAGTCATAACAAACGGAGGCCATTCTGTTCGAATCTTCGCAGCTACCTCCTCCAACAGATCCACATTGGAGCCCGCGAGGCTGACCCCCTCCGCCAGGTACGCCGTGACGAAGAGCACACATCCTCCGCGAGTCCTGAGCAGCCGGGCTGCCCAGTGCGCCTTCGCTGCAATCGGACTGGGGTGCAGCGCAGGCGGGAGCGACAGCTAACCCAACCCCCTCCCCTCCATGCCCGTGGGGACCCTCCAGTTCCATGAGCTGGGATGGTCGCGACTCCATCCACCCTCTCGAGATCTGCCTGAAGAAAAGACCTGTAGGAGTCCACGTTGTGACGCTGGCGAAACATAATTGGATATCACGGCACGGCACGGCCCCTGGCCTGCGCAGAGCGCGCCGAACGTGTCGTGCTGAA